TGCTCTGCATTTTCTTTGGAGCCATGCTAACATGCACACAAAAAACCTCCGCAAAACCCCGCAAAACACCACAAGCCTCACCGAACGTCTCCTTGCTACCGCAACCTCACCCACAGGAAGCCGCAACTGCGTGGCAGGAGGAAAAACCGCCGCGGATCCAGTTCGTAAGTCGAGGCGAGTTTGTATCCCGAGGTAAATTTTTCCTGCCGAAGCTGGTCATAACCCGAAACGTTCGTTAGTAGAGGCGTTCATAACCCGAGGTACCACTGTACATTGGACATGTTGTACAAAACTATATAGATAGATTGAATATTTTTATTCTATTTTGCCTAGGCGATATATGTGTTCCAGAAAGCTGCCATTTTGTGCATGCTTCCTGATGCGGATGTGAAAACAACAGGAGAAGACATTGTAGCTTTGTTTCGGTAATATTTTTAGAAAGAAATGAATTTATTTGAAACTTGATCTTTTAAGATATATTTTGAAATTTTCATTTTCAATGTTTTTTTTTCCTACTATCATCACCACAAACCTGCTTATCTGAGAAAGACTGTCTGTCTTCATTCATAACCTTATGATTTATGGAGAAAAAGTTCCTCCCCTGGGATTTACTATAGAGTTTCTTCTGCCACATGAATATATACTCTAGAGTAGGATCCTTTTTAAGGAAATGGCATCTAAAATAAATTCTAGGTACAAGTCTGTACTATACTGTCTTGGTTAAACTTTTTTTGCCCCCACTCTTCTTCCAACCAGCAGCTTGCCTTAATTATCTAGGGATATGACATAAGTTCACAGTATTCACATCTAAAGTGAGAAACCTGCTTCTGATCTGGCCCATGAACACACTTTTTGGCAACCCACACTACATCTGAAAACTGCACATCTGTAGTTACTGAATCCCAAGTTTTTGCTCCCGGCCTGAGGCTCAGTTCTGCTAGAAAGGTCCTGACTTAACTTTTAAGGCTTGGGAGATTAGCTTCAACATAGTCAAATGCTTGGGCTTCCCTAAATGAAATTTTTGTCATACAGTTGATTGAATTCCATAGTTTGGCCCTTACTGGATACTCACAAAATTGTACTGGGAATACAATTGCATATAATTCGGTAGGATTTATCACATTTGAAAATAAATAGGCATGAGATATCTCTTGGGAACCTCTGTTCTTTCTTTGTATATGGTTTATTAGTTGGTATGCTTTCATAACAATTTTGGTATCAGTTTACTTTCCAGATACATGGAAAAAAGTCCTGAAAAAGGATTTTACTTTTTTTTTTTTTTACATTATTAACTTTGCAAATAAATTTGTAGAGTTACTAGTGTGGAAGCATTTTCTCAAGCATGTTTGGAAAGCTTTCTCTCTACAAGAGAATAAGCTAAATGCTGTTCACAAACTTGCTTTATTACTGGGATCTGCATGTATGATTTGCACTCACTGCTGGACAGTCTTCCTCTAAGCATCAGATTATATTAATTTCTTTGGTCCTTTTTCCTTTCCGCTGATATTCTCTTTTGTTCTTGGTCTCCTGTTTCTTTGATTGCTTTCTTGCAGGTTTTTGGGATGAAGTTCCCCTTAATCCAACAACATGAAATACCTTGGGAATGTTTAGCACTAATTCTCATTTCATCTATCTGTATATATAGCTGTATGTTCTACAGCAAGGTCCTTCTAGCTGGTGATACCATGATTATGGAATTCCTACTGTATTCTGCTAGGGTTGACACTGATCCTTTAGAGTTTTCTGCACCATTCAAAGACTCATCTGTTCATCCAAACTTTCATTTGATCTATTGTGTTTATTGTTGTTGTACTTGGGTTTTCTTCTTGTGTTTTCAATTTCTTATAATTTTCTATGATTCTGTTCTTTCTGTTTTTATTTCTAAAGATACACATCAGGCAATATAAAACTACCACCTAGGTTTTATTATACAGATAGAACTAGTTTCAGGGTTGGAAACTGCTGAAATAGAATTGGTTAGGCAAAGGACCTTAACAGTCAACAATGTGAGATTTTATCTTGGTGGCTAAAGAAAGCACTGTTTTTCCTCTTATAGGCAAGTAGAAGGCCTAAAGCAGAGAATTGCAGGAAAATCTATCCCAACTGAAAAGTTTGCTGTGAGGAAAGCACGACGCTATGGGAGTTCTCCTCCTGTGAAACTAATAGTGCCTGCTCTGGTATTTACAGCAGACTTACTTCAATCATCTTTTGAGTGACAGAGTAAATATGTGTTTGTGTGTATGTATTCTTGTACATAACCTAGGAAAATTATATTCCCATTTGGCTTTGCCATGAAAGCCCTAGTTTACTTATGAGATAAAACACAGAAGAAACCCATCTATTGAAATTTCCTAAATACTGTTAAGGTAAATTTAGAAATATGCAATCTTATTGGAACTTATGTACCAATGTATTGAGACATGAGTTATGAATATTTCCAACTCCTGAGGCTAGATGTTGAACGGGAATTAATTTTTAGCAAATTGACCAGAATATATATTCTAATTAACAATGTAACTTGTCTCCCAAGATCATTCCATAAATACTTGGAGATACATAGATATAAATCTATCCAATTTCAGTCTTTGTGAGCCAGTCTATATAATAAATACTGTAGGAAGCATCTACAACTTACAGGCTGCCACAATTATAATCAATGTGATCATGTTTATAAAATATCGTATCATTAAATGTTTCATAAATATAGATACATGCTGCAGATAAATTATGTGAGTGTTTATATACTTACATTTTATTCCAGTTTCCAAACAGGAATAGGTTCAAGAGGGCAAATGCAAAAATTAAAATCTGGCATTTTTACTGAACAAGTATTAATTTTTAAGGTCTCATATTTGCAAATATGAGTGTATCATGTTAATGTCTATCTCCTTTATATTAGTACTTGCTTTTTAAGTAGATTCAAAGAATACATTTGTTACATTTTAAAGTTCTATGTTAATTTACACTGAAAGAAATGTTGTATAACCTCCAAATAACTTCTAGCATTATTCAGAAGTAAATGGATAGCTTACTGTAAATAAGTATTTTTCATTCAATGGCTTCTTTTCCTCAGGAAATGATGTATGTCTGGAATGGTTTTTCAATTCTTGGCAAGAGAACTGACTTCACTGAGAATTTGTTAATAACTATTGAAAAAGAAGAAACTGTTTTAAAAAACGAAACTCGTGAGTTTTACTTTGATTTATAAGATAAAAGTTACAAAAATGTTTCTAATTGAGTTGGAGCATTTAAATATTCCACGAAGAAAAGTCACATTTGCAGGCTTCTGAATTCTATGAACCTATATATTATTTTATTGGGTGCCATAATAAATAGCAACCTGTTTTTTCATCCAATCCCAGTTCTGATGAATCCACAGAAACTCTCACTGATAAATCCTGCACTGCACATTTCTTGTGCTTGATAACATTAAGCAAGGGTGATTAGCTATATATATATAAAGGAAATTTTATTTTGAAACATTAATAAGCTCAGTTTTCCATATTCTAGGAAAAAACCCTCTTAACTATATTTTTTTATTCCTTCAAAGGTTATAGAATCTTAATTTGGCTTGCAGTATATGTGAAATAAAAGCAAAGTTTTGTTGGTGACAATAGACATTGGTTGATACTGGGTGGTGGGAACTTTAAAAAATTCTAAACATGCAGTGAGTTTTAAGGGTTAGAGAACTATTGTTGTAAATGATAATAAAGATTCTCTGAGTACAACAGGTGCTTGGTTTTCAAAACTAAAATTGATGTATTTTGCTTTAAACTTCTATTGCAGGTAGCCAATGCAATAAAAATATTATTCAGGGAGACCCTGTATCAACTGAGCTACCGCATATTTCAAGGCTATATAAATAAATTTTAAATGGTGTTTCAAATATTAAATGTATCCTTTTAAACATAGCAGTTAGTAGACCTATTTTCATGATTTTTCAGATATTTAATACTGCATCTATTTCTGGAGCTATCATTTTGTTATTTTTGACCAATAATTGAATATAAATTAGTGATAGGGAAGCAGGTATAATAGTAGAGGATATGCTTTATACTGGAACAGATATTTCCAGCATAAAGATATACTGATTTTTATTAATTTTGTTGCTTTAGATAAAAGTTATCTAAAGATTAGATAGACCTCAAAATATTAGATATGAAAAAAACTATTTGTTAACTTATGGTATTTGACAATTGGTTGTATTCACAATCTTCATTATAATAGCTGTAATTTGAAACTTGCTTATGTTTTATTTTAAGATCACAATGAATATTACATGGATGATGTATGTTTGCTACAGCTACTAAAAGGACTGTGTTTGAAGCATTTAGGAAGACTCTTGCAAGCAGAACTCTGTTTCAGCCAAGTTATACAAAGGTAAAAAAGGGAAACAGAATTTTAAGATACAATTATATTATGCAACATAGGGAAACTTCATTAGAATACTTCAGTCTTCATATAGATTTTATATAAGAGTGTAGCATTTAAGAGACATATTTGTGCCTTTCCCTAAGTTAGTGTCTGAGTTTATTCTCCCATGTTTTAGGGATTTTTCCTAGCTGACAAAATCAGTGAAAGAAAAGCCAAGGGATCTATGACATTTTCTCAGGTTTCTGTGCTTGAGCTGGAAAATAGGAAAAAGGGACAGCAACTCTCCAGACACACATATGGAATTCTTCTTGTTTAACGCTTCTGGCTTTTATATACATTTTAGCTATAAGGCAGACATCCCTGCATCCAGGTGTTTTCATTAGGTGCAAAGCTTCTTGGTGTCTGCAGGATGCTGAGCCTAGTTTTGGCACCCAGAAGAAAAAAAAGTTAGCTGTGAGACCATTGCTTAGAGTTTGTTTATTTTATTAAATTTTTACACCATCCAACTCCCAGCCACTCTTGGCAGTTCCCAAATAAAAAAGTTGCAGAATGCTTTCTTTTCTGACAAAATCCCTGTCAAACTGAGCAGTTGAAAGTTTTCCATGGACAGATAAAGCTTCACCAGCCAAATGGATCACAAAATGTCTGTGAGTGCACAGATCCTTCTTTTCACCTGTCCATGTTAGTCACCTTCTGTTGGAATTTAAAACTATCCTGCCAAGATAGATAAATATGGATTGAGGAACACATAAGGTAGCTGTTTGTAATTCACAAATATTTATAGATATATTGAGAGAGAGAGAGAGGTTTCGACCTATCTGTTTAGTTGCCCTTAGTAATGATATAATGTCCATTTGCATTTTAGTGAGAAACAATTAAAGTATGATACCTACTTAGCTCCATATTCAATGTATGAGTTGGGTCTTCTGTATAAACAACAGGACGAAAGAGAAAAAGCTGTAAGTTGTATAGAAGCTGCAAAGTAAGTAACGATTATTTTTATACAACTGTAATCAATAAAAACACAAAATATATTGGTTTCAGCATACTTAATAATTTGACATAGTTAAGATACGTATATATGCTACTGCAGCTTAGGAGCCAGTTTGATGTAGTAATTAAAGGCATCAGGCTACAAGCTGGACACCATGAGTTCTAGTCCTGCCTTAGGCACAAAGCTAACTTGGGGACTTGGGGCCAGTCCTAGGAAGAAGGCAATAGCAAACCATTTCTGAAAATGCTGCCAAGAAAATGACTTGGACTTGTCCAGGCAGTCGCCAGGAGTTAAGACTGACTTGAAGGCACCAAAACAAAACAAAAAACAAAAAAACCCAAAATAAAAAAGCAACACCAATGTCCTTCCCCCGCAGTGTCTGGATTAGAGGAACAGGGCATAGTCTAGATGCCAGGAACAATCAGCAGTGCTTCCATAATGCTAAACCGCCAGGATTTGTTTATAGGGGTTTATTAACTTCTTGACCTGTTTTTTGTTCATACATTGTACACTAAAAATCATCAATGATAATGCAACCATGACATTTCAAACAGTGTAAGAGCAAAGGCCTCCTTGTGCATAAATCACATTAATTTTTACGATTGCACTTAAAGCAGTGGAGATTACACCCTGAAAGTCTGTTCACGTTTTAAAATGAAGTTTTCACACCCCATCTGATAAGAGCCTGTTAGGTCCCTCCAGGAGACAGTTCCCACAAGATAGCCCTGTCTTTACTGCCTACCAGCCATTTTTCTAGTAGGTGGATTTTGAGATCAATCTAAAGTTGTGGGCGTGTTTGTGTGGATTACATTTTTCCCAGAGACCATAAGTTTAAAAGATAAAATATTTCCATTGGACAAATCTACTCCACAAGTTTCTCTCTTCAATTTTTATTGGAGTAGTTGGGGTGAGGGGCATGGCAGATGACCAACTAACTCGATGTTCTTTTGTAGAAACAATTACAAAGAATATTCCATGGAATCCAGGTTGCATTTCAGAATCCATGCCGCACTTAGCAGTTTGAAAGTGACTCCCACTCCAACACCATGATGCCTTCTGAGGTTGATATGGAACACGTCTCTACAAGTTAATGTTTGAAAGCCTACAAAAGTTATGTAAATGATGTAACAAAAAATGTAGTTTATATTTCTATCATTTGTGATATTTGAATGTTTGCCTCATCCTTGTGAATGCTTCATTTTCTATGATTCACTTCCATATCTCAGCCTTGATATTTTAGAGGAAGACCTATTTTATTTAGAGAAAGATTAATTTAATGCTTGACACAGTAGGAGAGTATTTAAAAAATTGCTGGTGCAATAAAGAGTAATTCAAACAGTTTATTTTTTTAGGGAAATATTCATATTGTTTATGCATGAAACTGTATGATACATTTGTAATAGTTTCAGCATTTCATAAAGGCTTGCGTTTCTGCAATACCTTTATTATGTGTTAGGACTAACCAAAAATTGGCTGCTGGTAGCCCTAGATGCTGTATCTGGATTTGAAGCTTAGATTTACATACCAAAGACGGAGTTATCATGCTGTAGCCAAAACAAGGCTTCAAGTCATTTCATGAATGTTAGCTTGCATTCAGTGCAATATCCTGACCCACTCTCTAAAGAAAGTTAGGGAAGGACATTGGGCTTCCTTGGATAACCTATGAGGGTTTTTAAAATATAGGAAGAAAATCTTTCTCGGTGATAAGGGTTATACCAAAGCAAAAACCGAATAATAGAAATGTTTCAGTTTTTTGTTCCATTATATCTATTTAATTCGGCAGTCTTACTGGGAATGAACTATACAAAAATATGTAACTAATGTCTTGAAGATTCTTATGCCCTTCGCTAACATTGGAAGTCAACAGGTTTGATTCCATATTCCTCCATATATTGTAGCAAAATTCTCAAATTCCAATATTACTTATAAAATTGGTGTCTGTAATGTTTATTTAGCATATTACCTTGGTCAGATTTTTAAAGATATTTTGCAGTCACAAGTAATTAAGTATTTTTATTGTCCATCTCAGTCTCTTATTAATATGCACCTACTTTATGTTGAAGTATTTTATGTCACAGAACCTGCAGGCGAATGACCATATTTGAGGGCTTGTAAATGTTACCTGTCCAGGTTTAGTGTTTTCCCATAAGAATAAAAATGTGGCTAATCAAGAATGTCTATTTAATGACCATATGTGTCCGTGGCAAATGTTTATTGGTTTCATACCATATTGTATATTTACAGTATGTAAATACTGTAACTGACATTAGTTTTTTCCTTGTCTTTCTCACTCTATATTTAAATTATTTTATTAACTGCTAAATGAATGGAAAAGCTGAGTTTTTTTTTAATTATCACAACTGTGAAGGACAGACACACAGTCCATCTTCATAAGCAGCATTATAGGAACACAAGGGTTAGGGTTTTTTTCTAGATTTCTTAGCCTTAGATGGGTTTCTATATGAATGGGTTTTCTCCCTATTAGCCCATTGAAATTGACATTTTGCTTCTTGCTGAATTTTATTCTGGAATGTCTTTTCCTCATCTATTCTTGTACTCAGTTTTTGACACCTTCCAGTTTGGAAAAAAGCACACTTTGCATATAATTTTCCTATATGCAAAGAAAAGAACTAATAGTAAAACTAATTTATTTGAGCACATGTGGCTTTTTTGCTTTCAATCTGTGTAACATGATGCATGTTTAATGTCTTATTTCAACTGCTTACAGACAAGTATATGTGATTTCAAAAGAAGTTTAAATCTCTTGTTTTTTGTTTCTCATACACCTAGACCAAAGGTATTCTTCATATATCATTGCAAACTGGCACTCTTGTGTGTGTTTGTGTCCAGAGTTTCCTATCCAGAACTCCATGAATGTGTCTAGAATTACATTCTGTTAGAGGAGAACTTTGTAAAAAATGTAGTTATTTCTAGGTTTAAATAATTAAATGTTAAACATAGGGATTCAATTACCAAATAGGCTCAAATCAGTTTTACTCCTAGCTATAATTACTACAACTGTTCTATGGTTATAATCTCTATATTAGCACTGATTCTTTTAATGTCATTTAATGTTCGCTCATATTCTGCATTGCACTTTTAGTAACAGCTAATTGTTTCCACTTTCTGATAGAACCATTAGGAATACAGCACATGTTTTTAGAAAAGATGTTACAAAAGGATTTCATTGGTATAAATTATAATGGCAATGGTTCCCATTTGACTTGCACTTTTACCAAGGTCAGGAAATAATATAGTAAACAGATTTAGAAATTTTGCTAATTGCAGCAAAATAGTCCAGCTTCTATCAAAATAACAGTTCATGCTCTGGAACTGATTTTAATATTGGACTACTATGGATGTATGCTCTTAAACTGCCTGATTAAAAAATCAGTAGTATTCTGATTGACTACTATTTTTCTTGTTTTGATTGCACTGTACTTTGTAAAGCTGTCAGAAAATACCTGTTTTAAAAACTGAATACACTGAAATATAAACTATGTACATTTACTTGGAAATAAAGCTATTTTGGTTAAGTAGAGCTTAGTTTTAAGTAAGTATACATAGGATTTAATGTGTTGACTGCAGTGTAGCACAAGAGTTACAGTAGTGTAATTGAGCAAAACTTGATTAGAAATGATATTTAATCTTTGGTGTGAGTTTATCCAAGTTTTGTTATCTTGCCTTTCTGTGATAGGCAACAAAATAAATATGTATTTAAACAACCCCGCAGAGTGTTTTCCTTGGCTAACTAGTGTGCACATTCAATTGCAAGAGAATTGCAAAAGTATTTTTAGGAATGTGATGATGATATATTGAAACTATAAATATATAAATAAATAAATATTCTCAACAAGAGTTTTCACACATTGCTTTGCTTCTTCTCCTGAATACCTGCATATGGCATTCTATGAAGTCTGTAGAACAACATCTGATAACAAACAAGAACTGGAACATTTTTTCTGACTTTTTTTTTCTTACAATGCTTAGCATTTTAACAATATTCATTAAACAGTGATATTGCTAAAACTTAATGTCAGCCATGATACATGTTAAGGCTCTCCTCCTTAATGACAGGAGAGAATAATAGCTATTTTTGTTCTTTTTTTAAAATAAAGTGTATTGTTCACTATGAATGTACCTGCACAAAAGGATCTTGGCTGCATGAAGTCCTGCCCAAGGGACGTCTTTGCCTCAGGATCATGTATGATATGGCCCTGTAGCACTTCACATTCAGAAGAAAAGGTGCTTCAGAGCGTTTTGGTATAAATCTGGAGGTCAATGAAATATTTCTGAATAACCACATCTATCAAGTATGTCAGAAGCTCTCTTGATCTAACTTTAGCATGTATTTCTTGAGAGTTTTAAAATGTAAATTGCATTTCTAGTCTTCATTGTGGAAAACTTCTAAGGTCACAAGTTTTCCCTGGGCCTTAAACCATATGTTTCAAATATCCTTCTGGTGATACTGTCAACTTTTGTTTTTCCCTTTTCAAGCTTTCATCCTAAATAAATGAAAATGCAAAGCATACGTAGAGCCCATGATAAAGATCTGATTTGGGCTCAGATATCCATTTAAACATTTTTTTATTCATCAAGAACCTAAACCTGCTTTCATAGTTGAAAATAAATACCAAACTGAACTTGGACCACTCAGCTTCTGTCATCAATATAACCTTCCTAGCAAATGTTGGTGGAGAAAAAACCCAGGATGAGATGGGAATCCATGTTTGCTAATTTGAGCATCTTGAAGGGAGAAAAGGTAGAGAGACTCCTTTTGAATGCATTTAGCCATGTATGATACATAGACCATGTGTCAGAAAATACCTAAAAGAACATTTGTGTGGTAAACTAATCCATAAATTAATTTCTGCAGACTGGACTGATAAAGAGTTGTGTGTTGTTCTTCTGTGGACATTTTACCTACTTTTTGATACACAGACATGTCTAGGGCAACACCTTTGTTGCTTCACACTAGCAGACTGAACAGCTGTGGCTGAATTTATGATTATGGTATTGCCATTCCAAATACTTCATTAGACCTGATTGAATTTATTATCTGCTCCTGAAATTTTGAGTAATTTGTGTGCTCCTATTTGGGGGTGCCTTTATCATTCTTAAGCAAACACTAATTAGGGTTTTGTTATGTTTCTTTAGCCCTTTTATCATAGACTTGGCTCTTCTTGGTAAGTCTGATACTATAAGTGTGCCTCAGCCCTAGTCTACTCCACTGATCTCAGTGGAAACTATAGAACTGAACCAGATCCCATTTCCACTGTCCTCTTTATTTTATTGATAATGGATGGGACCCGAAGAGCAGAATTTTATAGATAATGAAATCTAAGGAACTTGGCTAAATTAAAAACATTCCTTCTTA